CCTGGATCAAGACAAAACTTATTCACTCATCTCATTGAAACTTGTCTCTAAATTCCACTTGATATCTCATTACTATGTCATCCACCATCCCCACCATCTATCCTCCTACATCATCAGCAGTTCCAGTAGCTATGGCTGCTCCCCCTGCTTGCTCTGTCCTCATTATGCCCTTGCTTGGCATGAAGTCTGCCCCTGAACTCTTCCAAGGAGACAATACCCATGTTTGCTCCTTCTTGGACCACTATGAATGCCTCTGTGCCTACCACAATGTCACTTCTGACCAGGAAACAGTTGAGTCAATCCTCCAGTACTGCAATGCTCATGTTAGGGAGATTATCAAAGGAATGGCTCACTACTACACTCCTGATTGGGCTAACTTGAAGGCTGATCTCCTCAAGTATTTTGATGCTGATCTATCAAATGAAAGGTTCTTTGAAAGGCATCTCAAAAGCTTTGCTTTGGAGTCTAGGATGCAGCCCATCATGATTCTTCAAGACTTTAGGGCTTACAACCATGGCTTCATTCACATTGGAGGTTGGTTGAAGAATAAAGGAAGGATACAGTGAGGGACAAAGTGTTGCAATGTTTGTGAGGTGTGACTTGCTGCCAATGTAGCTCATGCTATTCTGCACAGATAATCATGATACCTATACCATTGGAAAGGGGTGACTCTAAGCTTTCCAGAGCACTAAGGTTCAATCCAAAAAAAGAAATACATGCCAAGATACACCCTATTCTGTCCAAAAAGTGCATTGCAATGCTTTTGTTCCTGACTGGTGAAATAGTGAAAAGTGACCTTTTGATGGGATTGAGAGCATGAAGGATGGGAAAATATGATTACATAATAAACCACATGATCTTCCAGATGATTTGTCAGCATGTAAACAATGACAAACATTGGACTTGTACCATCAACCCTCCCTCTTTTACCACAACTCATGAAATCATCTCTCTAGCTCACATGGTCATTTTTTCTCAAGGAATTCTTATCAAATACTGGTGGCCACCACAGTGCCATCAGTATAACATGCTCTCAGAACCATCAGTCCCTTAAAAAACCTGCTGTCAGTCATTCCCTGGACTGTTTCCCCCCCCATGCCTGATGTGTTCTGGGACTAATCAGTACTTGGAAGGCTGAGAATGTTATGGAGGTCAATCTGGCACTTCAGAATGTGATGGACAAACCAGTCCCCTCTCAACCAATGCATTTCTGGCACAGGGACAGTGGTATGGAAGTTGGGGTGAGACAAAACCCCCTCATGCTCTGAGCACCATAAGAGGGTTCACTAGATCTTGCTCTGATCTGAACTGTGGATGACTGGAGAAGGATTATTTGGTCATCCACAGTTCAGATCAGAGCAAGATCTAGTGAACCCTCTTATGGTGCTCAGAGCATGAGGGGGTTTTGTCTCACCCCAACTTCCATACCACTGTCCCTGTGCCAGAAATGCATTGGTTGAGAGGGGACTGGTTTGTCCATCACATTCTGAAGTGCCAGATTGACCTCCATAACATTCTCAGCCTTCCAAGTACTGATTAGTCCCAGAACACATCAGGCATGGGGGGGGAAACAGTCCAGGGAATGACTGACAGCAGGTTTTTTAAGGGACTGATGGTTCTGAGAGCATGTTATACTGATGGCACTGTGGTGGCCACCAGTATTTGATAAGAATTCCTTGAGAAAAAATGACCATGTGAGCTAGAGAGATGATTTCATGAGTTGTGGTAAAAGAGGGAGGGTTGATGGTACAAGTCCAATGTTTGTCATTGTTTACATGCTGACAAATCATCTGGAAGATCATGTGGTTTATTATGTAATCATATTTTCCCATCCTTCATGCTCTCAATCCCATCAAAAGGTCACTTTTCACTATTTCACCAGTCAGGAACAAAAGCATTGCAATGCACTTTTTGGACAGAATAGGGTGTATCTTGGCATGTATTTCTTTTTTTGGACTGAACCTTAGTGCTCTGGAAAGCTTAGAGTCACCCCTTTCCAATGGTATAGGTATCATGATTATCTGTGCAGAATAGCATGAGCTACATTGGCAGCAAGTCACACCTCACAAACAGTGCAACATTTTTGTCCCTCACTGTATCAGTTGATGAATACAATCACTACTTTTGGGCTGGTTTGTCTCCAGTCTTTCATGGTTTGGTTGAAACCCATCTCAGGTCAAAAGATCCCAACCTTGATATCAGCAGGCCACTCCCCTATGATGATGTATGCCAGTCTGCTGAAGAGGTCCTTCACCATGATCACTTTGATGCAGATGGCCTTGACTTCCTTGGCCCTCATGCTGTTCCTGCTCCTCAGGCCCAGCCTAATGCTTCTCATCACTCAGACAGAATAGATGCCAGTGTTTGCCCTCCACTCCCTTCCCACAAAGCCAGAAGAAACCTTGAAAATTTGGAGAAAGAAGGCCCTACTGCTCACAATCGAGATGAGGTTGAGACTCTAATCAAGTCTCTCTCTCACATGTTGCTCAGTGACCTGGACTACTCACTCCTCTATTATTGTGCTATCAAAATGGATCCTGATGCTGCAAAGGTGCTTCATGCCCCTTCCCTTCATCCTGCTCCTGCATCTACTCCTGTATCCACTGCCCCTGCTGCTACTTCCTCATCCCAGACCCATCCTGCTAGGAGGACCATCACTTGTTATGGCTGTGGTGTTGAAGGCCACAGTGTTGAGAGTTGTCAAGCAATTAATGATCTCATTCAGAAGGGTTCCTTGGCATGAGATGAAAACCATTGAGTCATCTACCCTAATGGGCAGTCCATCTATTGCAATGGAGAAGAGACTATCCTGCAAGCTTATGAGTGCACTAAAGCTGCTGCTCAGCCTGCTAATGCAGTTCACTTTGTTATTCATGAAGAGGCTGAAGAAGATTCCAGTGCTGAGATCTGAGTTGGAAGAAGAACCTGTCACAAAAAGTTTCGGCATCATTGTAATGAAGCCAAATGATAACGTGATGTCCCTGAATTATTATGTGCATTGAAAGAGTCGTTATGATGGCGTGTGAGATCTGATTATGGCATGCTAATGTAATCGGGAAGTGCCGCCAGAAACCTTGCTTGTCCAGCCATGCACAATGCACACATATGTGATTTCAACAAGCCCCTCAGATCCCTAAGGAACACTCACCATATTTGTATGCATTCGCTTTGCATGGCCTGAGATGCTGTTGCCACTCGCAATGTTGTGGCTTTGAAGAATTGTTGGGTGAACTGGGCGGCCCTGGTCCATAAGTTGTTTTGTCGCCATCTTGCATTGCTGCAAATATGCAATATGCTGACCTTTTGCAGTCAGGCACGCTGCTTCCACTCGTCGCAAGTCGACGTTGCTGCTGCCGATAGTGCTGTTCACCTCACCATTTCATTCACCAGCCCTACCACTAGCTTCCTCAACCTCAACACTCGCCACAAAGTCCTCGCTTCTGCCCATCACCTCAACCATTCCCCAAAGGCAATCTTTATGTTTTGCGTGTCCTGGGCTTTGATCAGCGTGTTTTGTGGCGCGTGCATGTCGTTTCTGTCAATGTTAACATGTTTCTGTCCTTCGGGATACTTGGCCATTTCAATTTCAAGCTCTAAAGGTGAGTTTTGGCTCCTCAGCTTGTTCTGACTTTTCTGCTCATGTTTTTAGCAGTTTTCAGGTTGTTCCCATTGCTCTGCACATCCATCCGTGCAGTTGACACATCCACATGTTTCCCCAAGCCATCCACTTCGCCAGCTCTTTGTGCCAATGAGTGAGTTGGGCGGTTTCAGCCCATTCTGACATCTTTGGGTTCTTGCAGCCATTTTTGCATCGATTTGAGCGCACTGTGCCTGTGTGCGTGTGCCTGATGCATCCGCGTGGTTCCTGGGCCTGTGTGGCACCTCTAGGCGTGGTTCTGGGGCTGATGCATTCTGATTTATTTTCAGGCCTTCATGGGTCACTCGCAATGCTCCGTGCGTGCACACACGTGTTCCATGCATCTGTTCGGTTTTCGAGCCTTTCTGGCTCCCCTATGCGTGATACTGCGCCTCTGGCAGGTATGTCGGGGGTTGCTAACGAGTTTGCAGCTGTTCACAAGTTGTTCGCAATGCTCTGCACATGTGTGCACGCATCTGATGCACCCGTTTGACTTCCCAGCCTTTCTGGCTCGCCCACGCGCAGTTTTGTGCCTCTGGCAGGTAACCCCAGGGCTTCTGACACTTTGCAGATTCGCATCGCTGTGCAGGTATATGTGCATGGTTAGTAACCTGGCCCCTCCACCATCTCCCTGCTCTATGACACTGTCGAGTGCACTCACGGATGCCCACTTGCTGGCTACCCTCTACCACGACAGTTGCGGCATTGGGAGTCGCAACCATAGATTCATTTCTGCCTGCCAAGGTGCTAACCATATCCTTTCATTACCTGTTGCGAAGGGGTAAGCTACTTGGTTACAATACTCATTGGATTCCGCAAGGTCATCTGGAATAACAACGTCGTATGCTCACTGTGCTCATCCTCCAACAACTGACATGGAATTTGTTTGGAATTAACCATTTAATATGCAGGGAATTGCTTGTACAGTGTGACGAGCTTCATCAAGAAGGACGCTGATTTGTTAGATGCTGCTTTCGTCTCGCTTTTGTGTCATTCCTCAGACTAATTCATTTTCAAGCTTGTTTCGGGACCATTGATTGCCACTGAGAAACACTCAAAGGACGACTCATTTATGGTACAAGCACAAGTATGCTCGTGACCACTTCGTGATCCCACTCCCATCCTTTCTCCCAATGACTCACTTCCCTCTGGCGACAATTACCACCCACACCACATTTCAAGGCGTAGGTCTGGTCTTTACTCATACCTGACATCATTGCGTGCAGGAGCATCGAGTATGTTGCCTACTTTTCCCAAAGCGACTTCTGCGAACGATATGTACCTGCTAGTGTGGATTGGACGCAGAATGCATTTGACAATGTGCCACATTGAATGGGTGGCAAGAAAGTGTTGAATAAATGATCAGACACTGGTCTATTTAGCTTTTGTATGCCACGTCAAAATCGGTCGAGGATGAGTTGAGGTGGTCGCAAGGGAGCAATGCAGACTGGCACCTGATGGCATCGATGATGACAACAAGAGCATGGCCGGTGACGCTGGGACAGATTACACCCGTCAAGATGCAGGACCTGATACTGAGAGCAGGGATAATCTACTTATTGCACACGTGGATTGCACTCACCCAGAACCCCTGCGTCACCACCCACCCCCACCCCCTCCCCTCCCCGCTGGTATCAAGGACCTCTTGGCTAAGATTGTTGTTGCCGGGCTACCCTGAGCTTTCCACAAGCAAAAGCAAGATGTTCGCATTCGCATCACCTGCCATTTGGTGATTTATGTACACATGCTCCTTGTAAAATTTAGAGTCCTCGATGAAGGAACATTATACGGCGAGCCTGATCAATCGCATGACACATTTCATACTTTATGTGAATAATTTACTGACTATCATGTGTCCGAAATTGCATACTAGCCGCAAGTACTGCTTGTAAAGTTGTTTAACTTCAACTCCTATTTTCTCATGCATTGGACATTTCCCGCACTCACTTTCATTGCTCACTCTCATCACTCATTCTCATACAGAAAGCCACTCTACTCTACAAGTATCTGTGAGTCACTCAGGATGTTTTTTTATTTGCATAACTAATGTAATTCTTAGTAAATGGCCAGGAAACATGCGCAGAGGAAGAGGAAGAGTAGGAGATTGCATAGGGCGGCAAATATCAGCTCCACTGGAGTTGGAGGGTCGAGTGGGCTGGATGGTATGTCATTTTCATCCCTTAATGTGCACTGTGGAGATGAACACATAACAGGTGACAAGGAAGGACCTTCTGCAGTCATGGTCGACTGCAATGGTGTTGGTACTGGCCATGCGGTAATTGGAGGATCACCTGGGACAAATGGTGCGTACGGTATTTACATTTATCTGCATGTACTAATGTCACTTTCTATATTACTAGTCCACTATGTACAAGTTGGCGACGATGTGGAGTCACAAGTGTTGGAAACAGAGGAATCTTTCATGCCCCTGTTTGCATGTCGTACCTGCGGCGTTTTCAAAATGCGTTGCTTTGACTTTTTAAACTTCCTTTGAAATTTTGACTATTGTAACTATTATGATTTTAGCCACCATTTCAGCTTTGAAAACTGTCCAATTATTGTGCTCATTCCACGGACTCCTAGTGTATTACTGATTAGTAGCTCAATTCTAATACTGTAATCAGTGCATGCATATGTCATTGGTATTATTAGTAATCAACGATAATCGATTAAAGACCGTCTATTATTATGCTAACGTTGTTTCTCAAGAACCTGAACCATGGGACCCTTGCGCAATCCTCGAGGCAAGTACAACTACTCCGAGGAAACGCTTTCTGCCCTCTATATATGCTGGTTTTGTGGCAAACAGTTCAAGGTACAGGGTATCAAAAGGCACAAAATCGGCTGCAAAAAACAACAAGAATTACAGAAAGAACAAGCCGAACATGGGAAGGAGTTCGAAAGAGAAAGACACAAGGGTGAGTTCATAGCTTTTAAATTCCTTCTAATGCTTGAATTGATCTATTGCGTGTCTGCAGCTCGAAAAAAGGCTTGACTACTAGATGATCATGCTTCAATCAGTGCATCTGTTGCACCATGGCAGCATCTATCTCAATCGGATGCTGGTTCTTCCCATGCTGTTTGTGAACATGTAGATAGTGATATCTATGGGGATGATGGCAATGGCTGTGAGTTTCCATTCATATTAGCTTGATATTCTTCACTTATCACAAAATAGTTGATCCTTTGGTTGATAGCAATCAATTGAACCATGATGACTACAGCAGGAATAGTAATGATCCTAGTAAGTACCTCTTCAGCATATAGTGTTATTGGGTTGATCATTTAACTGTGATATTTTTCTAGCAACCATGGATGCATCCGTGGAAAGCACTTCCAATATATCTACCGAATTGCCATCACGATCATGCCCACTATCTACTGCTTCCCTCCAACCACCCACTGAATTTAAAATGGAGTACCATCCACGCAGTCGTCGGCCTGTTTTGCACCAGCCATATGAAGAATTTGGAATCAACAATGCTGCTTCGCCCACTATGGTTGACTCCACGCCATGGAAACCATTCAAAACTCAAGGTGATTATCTTTTTGCAGAGATCACCCTTGATGCTGGATTGAACAAGACTCAAGTCAATGGATTATTGGAACTTTTCCTTCTTGTAACCAAAGGTATGGAGCAGGTGACGATGAAGAACGATGCTGAGTTGCGGAAGGCATGTGATAATGCAGGAGCCAAATTAACACCTGTGTGTATTAGTTGTGCTGTGCTGTGAATGCTATTTATCAATATTGATCCTTTAGTTCACCAAGCATGTCATCTCTGTGCCATACAAGGGCAAGGAGATGGAGTTTGAGGTTCATACTTGGCCAGTCTTGGACTGGGCTCTTGACCTGCTCGCTGACCCACAATTAGCCCCACACTTTGTCTGGGATGCTGAACGGGTTTACAAACACAATGGGGAAGAGTATGAACACTTTTATGGTGAGCCTTGGACATGTGATTGCTGGTGGGACATACAGGTAAGTATGTGCAAGCACAGTTCTTGTCCCTGGGCTGATTATAACATTGCCATCCCCTTAACAGTCTCAGCTTCCTGCTGATGTTGAAAATGCCGTACCATTCTGTTTTATATTGTATGCTGACAAGACAAGGCTTTCATCTCACGGCACTGTGAAAGGGTACCCTGTAGTTGTTCGGTGTGCTAATCTCCCTGTAGACATCCGGAATTCTGAGTCCGTTGGAGGAGGTTGTGTTGTCGGCTGGCTTCCGATTGTAAGTTCTACGTTATAATATGGTCTGCTCACAATACTGACATCTAATGCGATCTAATCCTTCAAGATCCCAGAGGATGCAGCTGAGGAAGGTAAACTTGGCTATACAACTTTGAAACGTGTTGTTTGGCATGAAAGTGCCATCAAATTATTTGAGGCCATGGTTCACTTCTTGGCAACTGGCTTTCAGCATAGGTGTTGGGACGAGATTATATGGTATCTTTTCCCATTGTTTTTGATACTATCTGTGGACTATGAGGAACAGTAAGTCAATGAACAAATCGGTTTCTGAGTTAATTGAATGATTGCACCAACAGATGTATGATGTCTTTAATTCGAGGTTGGAATGGCAAGGCTCCATGCCCTATATGCCTCGTGCCACTTGAATTACTCCACGACATTTCTAAGACTTTTGCTCTTCGCAATGCAGGGCAAGGAGAGGAAGCATTGCGAGCTTACAACGATTGTAAGGCCGCTGGTGAAGCAATTCTCAAGAAACTTGGTCTGTGTCCTGTACCCATACGTTCCTCATAGCCCCCATTCACAGTAAGTTTATTAAGGGTAAAAGAATGTCTTTTGGCGTATCAGGTACTCTGACCCTCACTTGGCACTGAGTTTGATCGCTTGCATGTCCTCCACCTGGGATTGTGGGGAAAACATCTCTTTGAAGATCTGAAGATCATTTTGAGGTACCTTGGACGTGATGCAGAAGCAATGGTTGAACGACTGTGAGCTCGATTCTGTTCTGAGTTTTGGCATGTACTAATCTACCCTACAATAACAGTACAAAGGAGTTTCCATGCTGGTGGAAACTGTTTCATTTCACAGCCATCCTCAAGGTGACATTTAATGATGGGAATAAGTTTGCTGACCTATCTATTGTGAGCCAGATTTCTCCATGTTTCGTGGTGTTTTGCTGACACGTAACTTCCTGGTAATAGCAAGTTTTTTATCCCACATTAAGTATCCTTACGAAGGCAGCATGTCCCGAGGGATATCTCCTTATTGGCCTTATCAGCAGCTATCTACAACTTGATAGTCTGATCGGCCTCGACATCCAAACCGATCGCACGCTCTCTGCCATTGAAACTGAGCTTCTTGTTTTCAACGAAAGGCTACAGGTGAGTCTTGACTCTCTGTTTGAAATGCTATTTCTTTAGTTAGCTCTCTCGGATGTCACATTCACTTTCATAGGCATACAAAGAGTGTGCAATGAACTCTTCCATCCCAGGTCTCAAGGTAGATTGGGACTTTCCGAAGGTGCACCTGTGGAAACATGTGGTGCATGATATATGAGAAAAGGGGGCAGTGCGAAACTACAGTACTCGCCCCAACGAAAAAATGCATGGCCCTCTAAAGGAAGCTTATCAAGATTGCTCAAATGGTAGGGATGTTGCTGGACAGGTAGGTGATTTATTAAAGCTTTGGGCCTGGATGTATCTCACCCTTTCTACTAAGATTCTTCGTGTTGACCAACATATCCTTGCGTGCAGGCTCCTACGTACTCATATAGACTGGTATGACAAGTGGCACAAAGCAAGAAGTGGGGATGATAACGACGATAACGACGATAACGATGATAGTGTCCTCGAACCAGGCTTTGAGGGACATTGCAAGCTTGGGTCACCATGCAAGCCCACCACCATCCAGGGGATCGAAGTGGAATGTGATCGTGAAGACAAAGCATACCTGAGACTTCGAAGAAAGTTCACCGACTATATCAACAAATTTCTGCCTTCAATTGGGCACGAGCTAAAAAAGTGGGTTACCATCCCAGCTGATTTTAATGTATGTGTTTGCCACTTGCATGCCAATTAGATGGTGGCTGATATCATACTCACCAGATATATGAGTACCGCTACCTCAAAGTCAACTACAAGTCTTGTGTCGACTGGAAGTTGGCTACCGATCATTTGCGATGTAACTCTCAGTTCTTCGGCACTCCTCGCTATGACTGTGCATACGTGCAACTCACGTCAACACAAACAGCCTTTGTTCGCTTGATAACCTTTTTTATGTGTCAAATCCACGGCTACAGAGAACTTCAGCTCGCTCTCATTCAGCCTTATACTGCAAGTGTTGGCTGGGAGCGTGAACTGGACCAGGCCATGAAACTTACACGTGTCAAGGCTGTGCCTAGAAGCGATTCCATGTTTATTCCATTAGTTTCGATCATTTGAGGTGCACTCTTGTTCCCTGACCCGAAGAAAAAGGATGAATTTCTTGTGGTAGACCATGTCGATGGTGACATGTTTCTTCAAATGAAAACATGGAAGCAGGGTGGCTCGGTGTGTATTAATATTTGCTGAGCAATGCCATTCAGAGGGAGAATGTTGTCGGACCTTAGTCAACATGACCCAGAACTGAATCCTACCACAAACTCATTTTACTGCATCGAGGTCAACTATTCCATTTCGATCCGACACCTTTACATGTTACAGGCTGCGTCTCTTTTACATTAACGGCTAACGCTCAATAATTGAGGTATGTGATTTCCTTGCTGCTTCAAGACGTAACTGATAGCAGGTTTTGGGCTGGAAACATATATAAGGATCTTGGTCCAAGCTATGTTTTCCATTCTGCAATGGCACTCCCAGACTCACGACCAGTTTTTCCCAGTTGTCCCAGTTTAATTATTTGTTTTCAGAATGCCCCAATCTGACTCTGAGGAGGATTTCACCAGCTGCATTGGTGCCATTGATGGCGGCAATGATTCTCAAGCTGACAAAGGGACTCATGGAGATAGCTCTGACTCTGGAAGTGACCTCGAGCAGATGTGGAGGGCCCTCCATGTCCCAGGTCCCACTGCAGATGTGCAAGAGTTGAGAAAGGTATGGTCCTTTTCTTCGTGTCCATCTACTACGATCACTGACATCTATTCTCAGGCACTTTCCTTTGTACAAGAGGCTTATTTTGAGACACAGAACGAGCTTCGAAGCATACGCAGGGATTATGTAGCCCTTCAAGCTACAGTCCCTGCTCGAAGTCGCAATCGTACCACAAAGGCACCCTCCGAACTCGATAAATCCATTGCCAAAGCTGCCAAGAAGTATACAATGTTCTACAATTTCTGGATCGACGATTCAATTTTCCCGACAATTCGAAAACCAAACATTGATCCCCGCAGCCCCATGCGTTGGTCATCCCCTCAAGCGATGGCTGATGGGACAGTTGAAGAATTGTATGAGGCAGTTCCAAAAGAACTCCATAAGCAGATGGAGACATACCAAGCATTCAAGACTGTAGTAAGTTTAAACTCATTTCTTCTGGATAATATGTGCTAAACTATTGTATTTGACTTGTATTAGTTTCATCACCATGTCAATACAGAACGTTCTAACCTGCTCAAAGCAGTTAAAGATAGCGCTTCCATTGTCTTCTCATCTTTGAAACTTCCTGTCGATATCTTTTCAGAGTCTCTCCAAGATTCGAAGGCTACCAGCAAGGATCTTCTCATTTTGTTGAAACTCCCGGAAAATGTTGAACTCGACGGCAAGTATGAACGTCTCGCACCAGTTCTGTTCACCGATCCACACAACATGACCTCAGACACGCTTTTCAAGAGTGTGGTACTTGTCAAAGTAAGTTTGTTGTGTTCTATTTCTCTAATTTGACTCAGTTACTCTGCTTATAGATGGCGCATCTTCTGTTGAAGGGGAAGAGTTCACTGCTTGGCACAAAGAAAAGGGGAGGGCCAAAGCCTAGAGGAGAAATTATGAAGGTCAATAGCATCATTGAGGGAATGATTGCTAGTTTCGCTGTCATGGTAAGTCCTAACATAAATTGTGTCCATGATATAGGGAATGCTAATGATAACATTTTTGTGGTAGGCACGCTACTTGCTCACTCATGACACAGAACTCAATGCGGAAGGAAACCACACAAAGATTTGATATCACGATGATTTCAATTTTTATGTCCGGCTACTCTTCAAATGTAATAAATGGTCACAGGAAGTCATGCAGTTCTTTAATGACGATTTATTTGGGCCACAGCCTCCCCGTCAACCACCGCAGTTTGAGCCTACTCACTTAGCTCCTCACCATGTAACTGGGAAGATGACCTTCTTGAGGAGATGGATCAGGATTCTGACACCCCTTTCTCGATCCCCAATTCCACTGGAGCCGAGTCCCCACTACAGTCGCAGGCTGGTTCCCATCCTCCTGACATGGCAGCCACTGTTCGCCCACCTCTCAGTGCCAGTACTTCTGTACTGGAGGATACGACTGTCAACCATCAAGCATCAGCTTCAATTTCCCGCGAAGGTGCAGGTAATGCGAGGCTGTCTGCTACGACTCAAGTCCACCTTGGTGTTGGAAGACTTTCCCTTACTGACCCAGGTGATGCTGAATCTGGATGCTCCATTTCTTCTGCTCGCTGCACTTCTGCAGCATCAAAGCGGAGGATCACACCTGTTGCAGCCGATGCACCTCTTATTACCCAGCCACCGCAGGAGAAACGCCATATGAGAGCAACAAATCATGGAAAGAAATAGTGGTTGGGTCGTGCCAATTCTGTTAGTACCTTTCTCACTGTCTAAGATCTAAGGCTGTCGCCTTCCCGCATACTTCATATACATTTTTGCGAGTGTAGAATTACAATTTTAAATGTGATTTTGTCCTCTGGATTTCGGTGACAAAAAATGCCTGTATTTGCTGTCTGAACTACGATGACTATGGTACTTAGGATATTGTCAACTCGTTACCAAACCCAGTTGGTACATTATCAAGCAGCATAGCCACATGTTCATTTCTTGTTCTCATTCCGTCACCATGTTCATGACTTGTTCCATTAATTACAAGGCTATTAACATAACTTCACAAGCATCGACACCTTTCAGACTCTCATGGAGTCGTTCAGTAAGTTACTGCACCATAATTCATTGTATCATTATTGATACAGAATGATTGTCAGGTATTTTATAATTTGTCCATGCTCTAGTGTCGGCAACAGTATCGCTCTTAGCCTTGATGACGATGGTCATCCCCAGCCTCTTAACAATTGCCATCCCCATCCCCAGCCTCCACAACAATGGCTGTCACCATCCCTGGCCTTTCTCGATGACCCTCTACCACAGCGTATTGATGCCAGCGCTCCAGCTCTAGCAAGTCCATCAGTTCCTTTTTTATTTTTTAATCTTTATCTCTTATTTTTGTTCCTCTACCCCAGCTGCATCTGACCTAGTACCCCAGTTTGTCCCAATGATGATAACATCTGGGATCCCCATCCCAGCGATGAGACTGCCCTCAGCCTTGGCAGACAATGACGACGACCGCTCCGGCTTTAGCCTCACCCAATGATGGAATGATGCCTCCTCTCCACCCAACAACGACGCCACTCTTGCCTAGTCACAATATTGCTTGGTAGCAATGTCGCATTGGGCTACGATAACATCGATTCAGTAGTTGGTACCACCATGTGTGCGTATGCACATGTTGTACATTTTCATGTGGCTCCCGAGCCCATCTGCTTCCCCCTACCTCCAGATCTCTTTGGTGATTGTGACAAGATTTTAGGTGCACTCATTGTGCTGTTTCCAACCCAACTTCATCGATGCCCCCTTCGCCTACGACACCCTCAACCTCGAGGCCTATCTCCAGTACCCACAGTCCCCCTATGGTGTCTCCTCCATGTCTTGTAAGCCCGAATCAGATCCTCCATCATTGTTGTAGCTTACATCACCTTATGGCAGTGCCTGGCCCCTCTTCATCTTCCCCCCATCTCAGCTTTGACTCGCTGAACCTGTCCAACACCATTGGCGAGTACTCTTACACGTCCTCATACATCACTACCTCCCCTGGTCGTCCTTACATGCCCCTGGAGAATGGCGTTTCTCCCCTGCTGTCTACAACCTCTCTGCAGGTGAGCTGTCTTCAGATGGCCTTACCTCTGGAAGGCACAGCCACGACAGTGGTACCCGCTCGCCTGTGTCAGCCCTTGGAGTGGTCGTTGCAGCCTCTCGGCCAAGCGTCGCTCGGTGCTATCATGTTTGGTCTTCTTGCATCGATTCCATTGGTTACGGGTACCATTGCCGCTGCTATCTTCATGTGGTCCTTCTATTGTCAGTACGCAGCATCCCTTATGCTCCCGACGATGATGACCATTCCAAGTCCCAGCATATCAACACCACCTCTATCCTCATCTGGCGACAATGAGGATAGCAGCGTCCCAGCCCTGAGTTTTCATAATGACGACATTCCCCTTGACCCACCTCATGCATTAGATCATATTATAGTGCTGATTTTGTGTATATTAGCATGTAATATGATTTCTGTAATTGCTATATGGTATAGAAACCAGGCAATATTAGCTTGATGTTAATGGATTGTGTGCCATCAAAATGTCGAACACTCACATTGTCATGTCATCGAGATGTTGTCCAACAAAATATTGTCTGGTCATAATTGCCATAACAAGTAGTGATAATGATGCCAGTGCTCCATTATCATGACATTATCACTCAATGACAATGCCGTATTCCATAGGGTTCGTGCCATGTTGTCATGACATGCTTATGTCACAGAATTTCCATTATTAGACAATAATAATGTGCATTGGGGTCATGACAATAGGGTCTGGGCCATGTTGTCATAACATGATCAAGTAATCGTTCACCATTAGCATGCATTATAATGAATCCGCCAGCAACCACCATTGAAATGTCTTTATAATGCATTGTCACGTGCCCAAGAAATTTGGGACAACCTCTTGTTGCTGCTGTGGATCATTCTAACAAGATTACTAAAGAGAAGAGAAAGGCTGTCTTTGACAGTGTCCTTGTCCCACCTCATTCACATGGCAAGGAGAAAGAGAGTCAAGAACCAAAGCCTTCATCCTCTGCATCTATCCCTGCTCCACAGAAAGCACCACTTGCTCCTGCCTTCATACCAGTTGATGTTCATCCCCCTGTCTTTGATGGAACTAGAGATGACACTATTATGGAAGATGCCTCTGTCCCAAAGCCATCTGGACATGCCACTGATTCTGCAGACAGGTCTAAGAAGTCCAAGCCTCCTCCCACCATTTCCCTGTTTTCATCACTTTTGCAGTCTGCCAATTCCAAAGCTATTGTAGAGCACATTTTGTCCACCCCCTTGACTGTATCTGTTGGGGAGGTCATTGGATCATCTAGGGATGTTTCTCAGCACCTTCAGGAACTTATGCAATTCAAGAGACAGCCCCTGGCTCAGCCTGTCAAGTCTGTTACCATTGTTGAAGGAACTCCTCCTGTAGCCTCCTAATTGGCATTGATGTCTAGCCCCCTCATCACCATCAATCTGACATGCAATAGTTGATGTGTAACAGGTGTCATTGACTCTGGATCTACTGTCATGACTGTGTCCAGACTACTCTAGACTGGCTCTACCCCAGTCTCAACCAGCCTCACCCAACCCTTGCCCCAGTCCTGGCATTACCCCTTCAACCCAGAAATGTGTTAGCTCATGAGGCACTGCAAGGCAGTGCCCAATCAAGTTGTCTGCTCAGTTGGTACTGGGCTGGTGTAACACCTGGCCCAGCCACAAGTCCTGCCCCAGTTCCTGGTAAATCTTTTGTTCATAGTCTTGCTTGATAATATTCTTTGTAACATTACTTACCAATCTGTTTACCAATCATCACTGTACCAGCACAGACTGGTCTCCAGTGCTACATTACACTTAGTTTACCTTTAGTATTTAAGCCATAGGATAATCTGTTTAGCCTCAGTCTGAAATCAACTTAGTCTCATCTTAACCCAGTCCCCTCCTGTTCTCTGTCTTCTGCCTCTTGACTGGACTATGGCCCATGCAAGGGAATAGTGCTGCACCTTCAGTCACTAAGTCCAACAGTCCAACCCTCTAGTTTCTCATCTACCTTCTGACCCCTGACCAGACTCCAGACCAGCTTTGGACCAGTGAAGAACCAGACTTAACAGTATTTCAGACTCACACTTGTGTGGGTCACTACCCTTCTGTCCAAACCTCAGTATCACACCCTCAGCATGCCTACCCAGACCAGAACTCAAGCAGCATGTGCATGTGCTTACCACCAATCCAGATTCCACCTCAGCTATTGACTTATGCTATGCTGCTGCCCTGGTGTCCTTAGGGACAGCCAGAAGGTTGCCCAGTGAAGTCAATAACTTCAGGGGCTTCTCAGCCTGCAAGTCTACCACTCCCACTTCTAATCAACCTCCTGCACCCACTAATGATCTGGATGATGAACCAGACCTAGACAAACCAGATGACTTCAATCCTGGTGGTGATGACCCCAGTGATGATGGTCCTGGCAATGATGGGCCAGGGGATGACCCAGATAATGATGAATGAAGAAGCCATCCCAGAAGATGATGTTGAGCCTGGTGTAACCATGCTTGACAACCTCTACCAAAGCCATCGAAGCTTCTTGCATGCAATGCTTGCACCAGCTCTGAGTCCTCATCTAGAACCAAGTTGTGTGAACCAGACACCTTCAATGGGATAGACCCAAAGAAGCTGTGTGCTTTTCTTATCTAATGTGAACTCAACTTCTGGGACTGGCCCCAGGCCTTTCATAGTGATCAAGCCAAGGTCACCTTTGCACAGTCATTCCTGAAAGGGATGGCTCTTGAGTGGTTTGAACCAGACCTACTTGGGACTGAAGACCCAGAGGACTGGCCTTATTGGATGGACTCTTGGAAAGAGTTCATCATAGAACTTCAAACCACCTTTGGACCTCATGACCCAGTGGCTGACACTGAGAGCCAGCTAGACCACCTGCAGATGAAAGACAATCACTGGGTCAACAAGTACATGGTCAAGTTCAACCAGTTGGCCTCCCAGGTCCAGGGATACAGTGATGGTGCCCTGTGCCACTTCTTCTACACTGGTCTTCCTGACCACATCAAAGATGAGGTCTGCTGGGTTGGCAAACCAAGAACCCTGCACAAGCTTCACCACCTAGCTCAGGAGATTGATGCATGCTACTGGGAGCACAAGGAAGAAGTTCAGCAGTCCAGTAGGCACCAGGGGTTGTCCTCTGGTAGCAAGTCAACTCCAAATCCTGGTCACAACAACCAGTCTAAGCCTGGTCAAGAGAGATCCAAGACCAGCAATAACTCCAGTAATCAGTCTTCAGCTAAATCCATCTCCACCAGTCAGGCTGGCTCTAACACACCCAAGCCAGACTCAAGCAAGTTGGGGAAGGATGGCAAGCTGACACCAGAGGAGTGCAAGCATCACAGAGATAACAACCTCTGCATGTTCTGTGGGGGCACTGGACATTTTGCAGATAAGTGTCCCAAGAAAGCTGGGAAAGCCAAAGCTCACACTGCAGCCACCTCTGAGGCAGCACTGGCCTCAACCTCAGGCTCTGCCCCCAACGCAAAAAAATAGGTAGCAGCTCTCAGAACTCTGCACAGACTGAGAGCTGCATTGACTCCAGCTGTGCACTCATGGAGGCTTGTCTCAACACATCTGCTCTTTCTAATCCAAATTCATTAACTCCCCATGTTTCTATTGTCAGTCACAGTGTGCCCCAGTTTCATACACTAGTGGACTCTGGTTCCACACATAGCTTCATAGATAAAGAATTTGTTAATCAACACTCTTTTGCCCCTTACCCCATGTCCCCTATCCAACTCTGGCTCTTTGATGGGTCATCAAGTTTTGTTATCTCTCAAGCAGTAGATCTTTTGGTTCAATTTGCAACCAGTGATGTCACCCCAGTAACCCTGTTTTTAGCCCTGTTGGATTCTGAATGTAAGATGGTCCTTGGACATGACTGGCTCACCCACTACAATCTGTTGATTGATTGGGTACTGAGCAGTCTAACTTTCTGGACATCTACAGGAAGAATGCCAACCCTGTCAACACCCCCTGCCACACCGGTCTTAACCAGTCTTCCCAATCCTGGTCTACCTGACCAACCCAACCCTGGCCCTGCACCATCTGTACCATCTGTTGACTCACCAGTTTGCACCCCCCTGAAAGCTCCCCTTATTGCCCTGATCAATGCAGCTGTGTATGTGCATGCTTGCAAGCTAGAGGGATCTACCCAATTCCAACTTCATCTATGCCCACTGGACCCAGTCCTGGCCCAGTCTACCTCTGCCAGTCCTCCACTGGACCTGGCCAGTGTATCAAAGGACTATGTCATATCCATGACTCTCAGACTCAATCCCAGTCCAGTCCAGACCCCCTAGCCCCTATCTCCAGTCAAGCCTGGTCCTGGTCCAGCCTAGAAGACCCAACTCTGGCCCTAGATAACCCAACTCCAGCCTGAATAACTCAAGGCTGGTCTTTTACCCCTATCTCCAGTCCATTCTGGCCTCCTGGTCTTGTGCTGCTCCACCCCAGTCCTCCCAGGTCCATGTCTGGGTCACCTGGACATAACTCCAGTCTGTTTTCCTTTATTTGTACTATATTTAGTCTAGTCCCCTTTGCTGATCTTGCTTACTGTACAAACCTGTGTCTGACTCTGGTTATGCCAGTCACCTGGACTTTGACTATTAGTCTCAGTACAGCCTCTGTGGCTATCCTCTTGCTAATCACCTTTCTAATAGCTTATCAACAAAGTCTGGCTCTATGTTCATTACCCCAGACTGGCCTCATGTATTTAACCTCTGTACATACTTTGTAGCACCTCAGTCAGAATATAAATTTAGTATTACCCTCAACTCTGTATTACCCCTCAAGTCTACCATATAGCTAAGGCCAAGCCTTAAGCTATCCCTGGCCCCTGTCACAGACCTCTCCCCAGCTTGCATGAGGGTACAGCACATAAGCTGAGACCAAGGGAGGTAGATCCAACCCCAGACTGGCTTCCCCCTGTGTGCACTCCAAGACCAGCCAGTTTCCCATGCTACCAGTCTTGTTCCCATGCTCCCAGCCTTAACTCCAGTCCTCTGGGACTTAACCCCTGACCTCTGGCCTTAACTCTGGTCCAACCAGACTTGGCCCCTGTCTCCCAGCCTTGACTCTGGTCAGCTGGACTTAGCCACTGTCACCCAGTCTTGAAGCCCAGTCACCTGAGGGTAAAACTGTACTTAACAGACTACCACAACTTTGCTGACATCTTTAGCAAAGCCAAGGCATCTACTCTCCCCCCACACCAGGAGTACAATCTTAAGATCAAACTGGAAGAGGGTACTACACCACCTGTTGGAACCATCTACTTGCTGTCCCCAGTCAAACTGCAAGCTCTCCAGGCATTCATTGAAAAAAACCTGACCACTGGTTTCATCTGGCCCACTTCTTCCCCTTATGCTGCACTGGTCCTCTTCATAAAGAAAAAGGATGGTTCACTCTGGTTATGTGTTGACTTCTGGGGCCTTAACAAGCTCACCAAGAAAGACTGGTATCCTTTACTACCAATATCTGACCTACTAGACTCCCCTAGTTGCACCAAAATCTACACTAAAATTGACTTGAGGCACATGTACCACC